TGAAGTAAGTTGTTTAACTGTCATAAGACTCTGCACACTTCTGGTAGGTCTTGTAAAGTATGTGACTGTACTGATTGGAGCGGTTGTAAACACCGTTAAGCATGGGTAGTTTTAATCATTCTGCACTGCGATACTCAATGTATTTCTATGTTTGTCTTCGGTTCAGCACTACCTAAAATCGGCCTGTCCACATATGAACCCGTGAAGATGCGGGGTAGAATATGTCTTCAGCAACACATGCTTGCCGTAAATGCGACTATGCTTTTCGTAAGAGGCGGCTAACGGGATCAGGTGGTCAGGCTCGCTGACTTGGTTGTTGCATGTCATCGATCCCAATTGCGTGGATCGATGCTCATGATGTCAATCACTGGATTGTCTGTTCCAGACTCGATTATTTACAAATCGCCGTCATATAGCTGGAATATTGCTGAGTGCGGCGTTAACAACAAACCACTCGTGGCCATCAGCTTTCGAGAAACATATTTGAAAAAAAGTTATAAATTGCCTTTTCGTCTATATCATGTGTAAAATCAATATGCTAAAGCATTTAATGGGAAGGCATCTGGAAGCTCATAAATTTCTGTTAAACACAGAACAATACACAGTCCTATTTCGTAAACTACGATCCTTCAGTCAGTGGCAGTTCGCTTAACTCTACATGTTGCTCTTACTTTATGTTCATTATACATACCTCCTTCCTCAGCTCTACACGTCAAGGATCTCTAAAATCTTGCTGATCTGTTCCCCAAGCCTTTCTTACTTGTGGGGGACTTGGGGTCAAAATCTATTATGGACTCCAAAAACATATCTACATCCAGCAACTGGTACTTACTCTGCAACAGACTTATCTATATCAGATCCTTCTCTTTTGAACTACTTTTCATGGTCAGTCCATGATGATGTATGTGGTTTAGTGATCATTTCCCGACTTTTCGTGAAACTGTCACTAGCTTAGCTCCGCCTTTACTAAGTGCAAATTTAACAAAGCGGCGTTAAACAACAAACAAACAAACAAACATATCTGTCCGACACCCATTCAACCCCGTCTTCAGCCGAATTCGGTTTTCCTACTTCCAGTCATCCTATGACGTAGTTCCTTTCTGCTTCAGGTACAGTTAGTCGTAGCATATGGCTTAGCGGTAGTCAACGCTTTCGCAACCGAAAACCCGTATGTATTTGGTCGTTGCTTTCGAGGATTCCTACACAACGATATTATTAATTTGGTGCCAAATGACATCATATTCCTGTTTCACGTACCGTTTGTGTGCTAATATCTTTCATGTATGTATATGAATATTGAATCTGTCAAACATAATGTCTGTCTACACAATATTTGATGCATTATTATTATAATTATTATCGTCTCATCTGTTTTTCATCTAAATGAAGCGGCCTTAAAATAATTAACGTCGCGGTTTCTTGTCGCTGTCAAACACTGCCTTCTTCTTCTAATGAGAAGTAACAATACTTCTTGGAACCACTGGTGCTGATGACCGTTTCAGCTCTATATGATCAATAGTCACGGAATAAATGCTGAGAAGACATCTGGTAACACCTAATATTATAATGTTGTTATTGCCTCGTCAAACTCCAATGACGCCACGCTAGGATAGCGCAGTTACAGATTTGTTGAAACTAAAACAGACATGTTAATTTTGAATTGAATTATGTCTGCTGAGTACAAGCGGAGATTCTGGTGCTTATAAGTACGTTTAAGCAATATATATTTGCAACACAATATGTGTGTGTGTGTGTGGGGGGGGGGGGGGGGGTGGGGTATCCATGGAAATTTGAACGCCCAACGTTACATGTATGTCATTCTACAACCCTTTCTCAGAAGACAAGATGAAGGGATACTGTTCCACCAGGGAGGTGACAGCACCCACATTGCTTGAATAATCCAGGATGTTCTCAAACTTTATAACGTACCCGTGTTGCCCTGGCCATCACGCTCACCGACCTTTCACCGTTGGAACATCTGATCTCTGGGGTCATCAGGTGCGACAGATAAGACAAACCTGCCGAACAACGTCCATCAGCGGCAACGTACCTAATGACGTATAAGTTGGCTTACGTCATCGATGAGGAGCCCTGTCCATGCCTGCCTGCACGCCCGAGGAAGTCACACAAGATATTGATGCCATTACCGAGGTGCTATACTTTTCCAAGTTTCACCATATGTTGTTGGTTTTGATGTGAAATGTGATAGCTATGACCCCAGATGTGTTTTCTTTTTATTAATTCATCCCAAGTCTTTGGGGTTTTGTACTATAAATGATTGAGTGGAATGTTTACATTTTATCGTATATTAGGTTAGAACAGGTCTTCAGCAGCCCATGCTTGCCGTTAAAAGGCGACTATGCTTGTCCCGAGGTGACTAACGGGTTCGGGTAGTCAGGCTCGCTGACTTGTTTGATGAATGTCATCTATCCACATTGCGTTGATTGATGCTCGTAATTTTATGGTCCAGACTCGATTATTTACAGACCGCCGTCATAAAGCTGGAATATTGCGGAGTGCGGCGTAAAGCAACAAACAAATAAAACCATTCACAGTCACGTATGGATACATAGTCTTGCATTAAAAACTCATGTCATATGTGTACCACTAAGCCTTAAAAGATTAGACATATAAACATTGTTTTCGCATATAAGACCGCCTCCAGACTAGTGGTAGAGCGTCCGCCCGGATAGCGGAAGGTCCGGGGTTCGATCCCCGGCCGCGTCATACCAAAAGACGTTAAAAGATGGTACTTGTTGTTACCCTGTCTGGCGCTCGACATTAAGGGGCTTAAACAAGGACTGGTCGGCTCGGAGTCAGTATACTGTGTCTGAGTGGGGTATTCATGTTAAACTGCGGCATGGTATCTCAGTGGGCTAGCACTATAAATCGGCATCAGTCCGGACTAGTACAAGCAGCCACACAAACACACACACGTACATGCACGTCGCTATATAAGTGCAATAATCGTTAAACCCCATTTCACCTCACCTTTCGCATATAAATCAGTATAATATGCATGTACGAAATCACATGTACATTATACTATTATTGCACGTGCATAACACGTGCAGCCGATCTGATCCATAATCATTCATTTAAAACTGTAGAAACCTGTCTCTTCTCTTGTTTGCAGAAATGATATACATGTTGTTCGTTTGTGTAACCCTGAATTATTTGTCGATTGTTGAATACTCATGTTGCATTTCAAAAAGCACAAATACGTATTAAAACTATACTTGTGTCTATGCTTTCTTTATGAGTGATTCGGTGATTCGGTGTAAAGCTACTTAATTTATAACCTCGTTACTAAAATGGTCTGTTAAATCACGAGAAACCAGCACCAGCTGTAAACCTGATGCACTGTACGTATGAAGTAACGAGAACAGCATCACAGTGCATGGTTGATAGACCTAATGGCATATGAGTGTGCACGCAGGCTGTTTACGTTTATTATTTTGTTGAAACCGACTAGCGGGTGAAATGTGCCAACAAAGATCAGTTCCGGATCGAACCTGATACTCCATCATATGATCTGTTAATTGTACCGCAACTCTACCCAGCCAATTTCGGCGCCTGTTACCTCTGGATCGTCAGTTATTATGCATTCATTTTCGATATTTTTTACGGAATCTGGCAGACGAGACCACGGACAAACTGTGATTTTAGACGAGCGTGAAAATAAATAATGATGTGATAAATTCTTTCTCTCGTAAAGAAAGTGCCTAGAGTCAGCCATGTTATATTGCAATATATTGTACTGTTTCTGAGGTAGCGGGGTTTGTTTGTGGTGGTAATTCTACCATTCTTATAAACATGTAAATATTCTACTGAACATTGTGGTCTTCCGTTACGGTTCAGCAGTCCATCTTTTGTAACGGGGCTGGAATTGGTAGCTGAACTACTAGCCTAAAGCACCAACTGACTTTTTATCAAATCTTTGAAAACCTAGGCCCGTCTTATCTGAAGAACTTTTGTTAAGTTAAGTTGAAGGCCCTCGATTCATCTATAAAAATACACACCAATATTTTACCCATCTTCACATCTCACCGCTTTTTAAATTGAACTTAATAATAAATGTAATAGGGAAACGCTGAGTGGAAATATGAAATATTTGAGAAAATACAACTCGTTATAATTAAACACCGTTTGACTGTTGAACCTGGCGCTATATAGTGTGTTTCCCTGTTGTAAGTATCACCCTTTGTATCTGTTCCCTTTCCTCAATGGGGGGGGGGGGGGTCAGGTTGCCTAGTGGTTAAAGCGTTCGCTCGTCACGCCGAAGACCCGGGTTCGATTCCCGACATGGGTACAATGTGTGAAGCCCATTTCTGGTGTCCCCCGCCGTGATATTGCTGGAATATTGCTAAAAGCGGCGTAAAACCATACTCATTCACTCACTCACTCTTCAATGGGAACTATGTGTATCTACGTGGTTTACTTGTAAATCAACGGGACAACGCCTACATAAGAATGACAATATCTAAGTTTTTACCAAGGTGGTTTAATGTTAAGTTGAGAACCTCACCTATTTCAAAATAATAAGTTTATTTCAAACAACAGATGAGAATTGACTTATGGAACCACATTACAAGCCTTCACTTTGACTCCCTGACCTAGGCTCGCCAACAGTAAATGTGACATTGTCAAAATTACCAAGGTAGATTGATACTTTAAGAATACACAGACCTTATCGGCTTGTGTGTCGTAGATTATATGTACGGGTTTCCCATGGTCAACATTCTTAACCAAATTCATAGTAGTTATCTTCAATAACATGTCAACCAATTTAATTTACCCGGCATTTGTTCTTAAAAGTTTCCCCTTGCAAATCCCCCTCCTAACATTCCTAAAGGGGAACGAGGGACCAGCCTTATGTTGACATTATGCGCTGTACCCCACGAGTAATTTATCAGCTAATCTACTCCATGTGGAAAGCCAGTCGACTCGGCTATTCAGGGCATGGGGGTAAGAGTAAGAAACAGGCCTCAGCGAATTTTGAGGGCGCAGCCATTCTCAAATTTGTTGGGCTAGCGAGCGTGCAGTGAGGGGTCTAACTCCGACAAGTTTCTTCGAAGACAGCTTAACTGCGTGCATGCCACCTCGCTGAAAGTTTCCTTGATAACAACCAGGCCTCCAGCGGAGAAGTTTGCTTATCCCAAGTGGGGGAATTTCATCTTATCGTCGGTGGGGCAATTTGCGGTTTCCTTCTTCTGGGATTCTTGCTTCCTTCTTTAACCAGCGGTCTACAAGGCAGTTTGGCTGTAGAGGGGTGTTTCGGGTCTTCAGACAGTCTACTTAGGTCTATTTTCTAGTGCAAGCAGGTGTCGTTAGGGTATATCCCCCAAACACTTGTTGGCTAGCCACAGTGACCCCCACATGAGTGACAGTGACAGTCTATGAGGTTTGGAACTTCGCCGATGTTCATTTTGGAGTTTGGTGTATGACATCTGTGTGAAAAATGATGAAGTTGCAGGAAGGTGTGACGATGTTCGTGGTGCTGCTGGTGCTGCTGGTGCTGCTGCAAGTTGAAGGCAGAAAATCAAGGCCGCAAAGAAGAAGCCAGATTCAGAACGATGGCCCTTCCGGGTAAGCATCAATATGAAGACATGATACAGGGCATATATACCTCTTTCATATACAGAGCAATGTAATCATAAAATGTTTAAAAACATTAAATGTAAATCCGTTTCTGTTAATAATAATTTACCGGTGCCTTCTCTTATATTCGGGGAGCTTTCTGTCCACTATATAGCATTACAAATTGTGTTTCATAAATCTATACCTGATTTGGTGTGCATATCCCCAAGCTGTGATCTTCTTACAGAGCATCGAAGCAACCTAAACTCGGAATGTATATTATTCCTTTAGAAAGTTTAGAGGGATTTTTGACCATGACCATCAGACATGAAACATATAAACTGATTGATTGTGGCATGTTTCACGTTGTAGTTTATAGTTGTATTCATAACAACACACCATATGACGCTGTCATATGAACTCGTCATAGTGTTTAAGGACCCTCCTCGTTCATTCATTTTCTTAGTTTTGACGGGGCTTCACTCCACGGTGTTGTTTTACGTTAAAGAGAGGTAAATGTATATATTTCCATAGCCTCAACTTTTTCAGTTGTAGTATTCAAGCTGACTCAGCATGAACGGAAAACGTCGCTATACAAGACAGCATATGATTTATGATCTTTATACCTGATGTCCATTTCAGCGTATACTAGCATATTGTAATTTCTCACACATATATCTCGTTTGTTTTAGAATACGTATCATATGGAAGTGATTTTTATGTTTGAATGAGTTTTATGACTTTCGTATGCACGTTAATTTTTTTCAGTCAATTTTTTTCTTCTGGATTTAAAACTGGTCCAAACTTATATACATAGGGATTAAAGAAACATTTACGCTCCTCCTGATGGGAGCTCTAAAACTTACAAAAATGACATCAGATATTTGAAAAGGATATCGTGAACAGCATTGGCCCACATTTCACAACTTTTAAGGTACAATCGAGCATGCCCTTGCTACCAAGATTTGATAGACCGTCGTACGACTCTTGCTCAGAAGTTGTTTGATCAAGGTTACAATATTCAAGACCTAAGTAAAGTTTTCAAAAAGTTTTATGGTAAACATGTGGAGGATATTTCGAAGTTTGACCCATCAGTGTCAAAAATGATATCCTATGCAGTTCCCTGTTTTGACTTCTGTCATATGTTCCTGTGTGTTTTTCAGCTGAGCAATTGACTTGCCTATGTCTTTGTGACGGGTGCCACCGGTGGGGCAGGATATGCTTTCCGCGAACACTTGGTATCATCACTGTTTGATAGTGATTCATATCACACATACTCGTGATATAGTCGAAAACGTAAATTCGACTCTGTTTTTTGGCAGATATTTCTGAAGAGATGGAAAGGGTTTTGTCGGTTTTAATAAAAGTGGAACGGTGGGAAAGACTTTTTCAGGCTTCAGCAGCATCTATCTCAGAATTTTCCATTCTTTTTGTCATTGCATGATCAGTGATGGATTGCTCTGCCCTCTAAGATTTTTTATCCAGTGCCAAACTGAGTGACTAACAAGAGTGAATGTTTACAGTGACAGGTGCCGGTGTATCTCATAGATATGAAACATTTTAGTGTCGGGAACTTCCGTTATAAATCAGTTTACATTTTTACAAGAAGTGTATGGGAATCTTTCGTTTGTAAACGAAAGGGAAAATAACTTTGCAATTATGTATGTAATTCCTATGGTCGACGTTATTGTCGCATGAATTTGTGTTTCAACACTGCGGCCTATTTGGTACACCGTGTGCAACGCATTTAGGATATAAAAAACTACACATAGAAAATATCCAGAAACTGAAAGATGTTATCATAAATATTTACATTTAGCCCGTTGCAAAGATAACACAGATCTGGTTCCAATTTTCTATAAAGTGCTTCAATGAAAGAAACATTTCTTCAACTATCTGTCCATTTTTTGGATGGAAATAACTTAACTCTGCTGGAACTACAAATGGGTGATTCCCCTGCAGCAGGTTCAGATTTCTGAGTTGCCAACTTACGGATAAATCATCTGCAGCGAGATTAAAGTTTAGATTTATGGTCTTTTTGGTGACCTGTGATTTGTTTGAAGTTTATGTGAACTTCAAAATGCATGGAATGTTGTTTCTGTGTCAAAACAAGGTCTGATAAAAAAGAACCCTATGACACATGCGTTTCGAGGGCTGGTCCAAACGTTCTGACTACTTTTCAACAATGGGACATAAGAAAGTGAATAGTCAGTGTCGTACATTGTTTATGTAGTTCATTGCAAGTGTTTTTGGTCTGTTGAGGCCGTTTGTATATTGGTGACAGCCAGTTGAACGTGTGATATGGGTCAAAAGAGACACAGAAATGGAAAAGAACGAGTACCAAACTGTCATCAAGTTTCTTTCAAGGAAATTCATGACCGCATGACAATTGAAACTATTATTCATGAACATGTAAAGATGAATAAAATATCCGCTCATTGGGTGTCAAAGTTTCTAAATTCTGATCTAAGGAAAAATGAACTGAAAAAAATAGAGCTAATTGAGGAGGATTTCGGCAAATTGAAAAAGAGATTAGTAACGGGTCTACCACGATGATCCCGAGTCAAAACTTCAAACCATGGAATGGCACCATTCCACTTCTCCGGCACCAAAACAATTCAAGTTTTATTCTGGGATGCAAAGGGTGTGATCCTTGTTGATAACTCAGAAAGTCAGAAGACGATTACCGGTGCCTACTATGCTGATATACTTCATCGCCTGAGAGATTCTTTCAAAGAAAAGCGGCGAGGAATGCTGACTGCTGGAGTTCTACTACTTCATGACAATGCCTCTTCTCACACCTCTCAGGGGGCACGGGTGGCCCAGTCGTCTAAGGCGCAGAGTTGCGTCCCCTTGGCACGCCAGAAACCTATGATTGCGGGGGTTCGAATCCCGGTTCGCCCCGATTATGTTCCTAGGTTTGTCAGCACCATACCCGTACTCGTGGGTTTCACCGAAGCGGTAAACGTCCGAGACACGCATCACTTCGGGCTTTCCTCGCACATTAAGCTGACACGCCGCGATATAACTGTAATACTGTTAAAAGCGGTGTTAAACACAACTCACTCACTCACTCACTCACTCACTCACTCTCACACCTCTCGACTTGCGGGTGGGTTCGATGAGCTTCCTGACCCTCCATACTCGCCAGACCTGGCCCCAACTGATTTTCACCTGTATCCTGAACTTAAAGAACACCTTCGTGGAAACCTCTCTGACGAAAACGATGACCTCAAAGCTGCTGTGAATGGGATTTTCAGGGTGGCTTTAGAAAACTTCTTCCTGACTAGAATTGAAAAGCTTCACTATCCCTGTATCGATATGAGAAGTGTATTAGAAAACAGGGAGATAACGTTGAAGAATAAATAAAAAACACTTTCACCATTGTTGGTTTTGTTTGTTTGGCTTATATTGTTTTGCCAGCCCTCGTATAACTTGGTAGCGTCTGTTTCGGCTGTGCTTTCATGAGCCTGTTACTTTTCGCCTGACAATTTCCTTATAAGTTAGATAGATTACAGAATTAAGTTCACATTCAAGTTTTAACCAGATCTTAATTCCTACAAGGTACAGTGTGGAGGGGCGAAAGGACCATAGTTAAATATTCAGGGTATAAATAGTATAACGATGGAATGCCATATCACAATATTGTCATATGCCATATGTTATGCCCTGGTTGAATCATGGTACACACTTGTTCGAAGCTAACCATGCATGTCGTCCCGATACGAATTGTTACCACTACTACTACTACTACTACTACTAGATCCGATCCTGTGTTCATCGCCCGTTACAAGACACCAAGATTCCTCATACGAAATACCAAGATGTAAACACTGACCAACTATTCAACGATACTGAACAGGTGGCAACCTCATGACAACGAAATACGTCGCCTCCCCAAACCCTGCTGGCGATAGAGACAATTGAAAAGTCAGGCGTGATGTGGGAAAATGCAGAACTCGCGGAGCTCAAATAGCATTGTCAGTTCACAACTGGTGTGAACCTAATCATTTTCGTGTTTCTCATCTTTGAAATTATTTTGGATCATTATGGCAATAAAAGTTTAAATGATATAGCCAAAGTAACGCATTCGGTTTGGTAATGAACATATTTGAAATTAGCATCCAACTGAAATATTAATAGCACTATCAGTTATGTTGGCGGGTTTGAAAGGAGTGTGTGCGCGCAAGGGCTATGGGTGACGGCGACACGACTCCATGTCAGGTCAATATTTATAGACATAATGGCTGACAATATAATAAATTCAGGCACGGACTTTCTTAAACGTTATTAGTGACAGCATATTATTATTATCAATTGTGTCCAAGAATATATAGTGATGTTTTATTCCAATATACTGGTGTGTCATCCAGTTCTGGTATTTGGTGTAAGCGCGATATACATCTTCGAAGAGCTAGGCATTGATTGTACATCAGTACAATCTGACGCTGATGAACGACTCTTGGCATTACCATTCTTATCACTGGGTTTTTTTTCGGTTAACGATCAATCTTCTCACGCCGAAATTTCCGTTCTACGTATGAGCTCTTATTCTATTAAAGGGCACAGTTGGAATATGAATCATAACATGATCAAGATGACTGGCTGATACTATGGACGTTTCCCACGTTTTCTGTTTTAGCGTTAGTGTTCAAAGATATATCAGGGTGATATCGTGGTGTCCGTTTCAAATGTGTATCGTGTTTCATTAGAAACTAAAACAGTCTTATTCCGATTATCAAAGGCGTGTCTCTAGACACAAAATCTATTTCCGTGTGCAGAATACTTCTTTTCAGAGCAATTATTACCAACTTGACATTAAACAATTTTTCTCACAAAGGAACATACGGGGAAGTAGGAGGGGTAGATCCTCAAACAAATTTTGGAATCGGACATTGTTCTAAGGATGAACGTGGAAAAATGTGAAAACGATTTCCAAATGAGTTAGTGAAGTAGGTCAGAATGTGGTTCACTTTATTACGTCCAAAGGTCACTGTGACATTTTGCACCTGGTTAGATTTTTCCTTAAAACGTGTTTTCACACTCTGAAAATGGTACACTTGTTAGTAATGTATTGGTCTGTTTCTTGGGTTTATTCTAGACAACTTAATATAACTGAGGAGGTAGCACTATCACCCTATTCTTTGAAGTCATTAATACTAACGACATTACATAAATTTATTTAATGAGTGTAAGATTTTGATTTATTGAAGCTACAAATATCTAATAGATCTCCAAATGTTCAACCGCATGAAGATAAACACTTTCATATAATGAAATTATAAGCTGTCCATATAGGAATTACAGGAGAGAAAAAGGCTTCATGAGCCTCGAGCTTGTTGGGAGAACTGGCCTAAATGGCGATCTGAAGGTTTAGTGTGTGACAAGACCGATTGTGTGCCATCGTATTCTGATGGCGTGGATTGTTGCCCATGTTACCAACCACTGGTTAACCTGTTTACCCGGCCTCGGTAGCCTAAAGACCACCGTGAAATAGCTTGAATGTTCATTTATAACAACATCCATCTACTCGTTCTTTATATGCGAATATCTAATAGCATGACACTGCATAGACAGAAAGATATTATTTTAGACGTATCTGGAGCTGTCCGATGAGATATGGGATGGTACGGAATTCGCTTCTCAATGTTTGTTTTTCTTGCCCAGTATAGGTTCCACAGATGAGACTTGTTTCTGAAGAAAAACAGCTAACAGCCTTTACAATGTAGCATCATTTATATATTAAAGGATCAAGAAGAATGGCTATGCCTAGTGTGCGAAGGCGGGTCTAGCTATTTACAAGTGGTGGTTGTGTTATCGTCTTGAAATAACGAATGATACCATTTATTAACCAACATCCTGTTCATTATCATTGGCGTTAATTGACATTTTGAACATCAAATAACAGGGCGTTTGTTTTCTTCGGTTCTGTTATAACGTAATTCCACATTCAGACAATACGTTATATGTTTGTGAAATGGTTTCTTGCAATGTAATGCAATATGCCTAATCATTGGGCGCCAAATTTTTGTCCGTCGTTTTGCCTGAACAGATCCAGTACATATATACAAATCCACCCTTCTGTTCATAAATACGTATGTTAAAACTCCGTATATCATAGCCTGATAAACAAAATGTCAGCATGACTATTAGAACGGCATACATTATGTGGTAAACTGCTGTTTTCAAGTATTTTCCGGTGTAAGAACGCTAGCCCAGGAAATAGAAGAAATGTGGCTGCATAGCGGCCATGATAATATCTGGTATTTTTTTCTGTTGCTGTAATGAAGTTGAAAATGGTTGGAAAAGTTACAAATCGTGTTATTTAATTACACATATTAATTACACGATTGCCATATTTTCATATTGATAATTCTTTAATAGTGCTTAATATTGACTTGGACAAGTAAATATGTCATGAGTGTAAAGAAAATCAAATATCGAATTGTTCATGTTCCCTTTTGTTCGATATAACCGGACTGCTACCATTATGAACGTAAATTGTAACGTGTCTATTGATACCGAAGGCCGCAAAACCCCGGGAAATGGCGCTAATATCTACCATGACATTTCCGCATAACTGTTTTTGACTCGCTTGGCATGCAATAAATTAAACACTTTTAAAACAAACTTGACAGTAACGTTTCATTCAATTTAAGTTGCATTGATTCGACAGCTGTTCGCTAGCATTCCCATTAACGCATAACGCTATTTGGGGCACGGTATCATACTGATGTAAATACACAATTTCGATAAAATACTTTAGGAAAAACGGTTATGTTGTAATTAATTCTGTTTGTATGGCGATATATGATGTTTTTGAGCTCGAATTACGGCGAGTTGTTGAGCACCTGCTTCTAGAGCTCTCGACTACATGTCGCAGACTGATTTAAATTAATGACATCTCGAGAACGGCCACGCTTTATTACTGAAGCCTACATCTAAGATTTAATCCATTTCAGGCAAACGCTACTCCTTTTTTGCTGAAAATGTCGCCAAATACACACAGTGAAAATGTTCACCGAACTGATTTACGAACACAAACTAACGTGACATGTAGAAGGAAGCATTCTTCTTTGTACGGCTCCGATTATTTCCAAGTGTCCTGACACTGACTATTGTTACATTCCAATTAGGACACAAAAATGCTTTCCATACATACTCGGGGGGGGGGGGGGAGCTATCTGTTGCGGCTAGGAATAGTTGCGGAATCATCCTCCTTTTCGTCCATGGCTTGGGTAATTCTAACATCACGATATCATGTTTATCTCATCGTTTCCTTTGTCAAGATAATGTCCAAGAAGTTGATTCTTGTGATCGATACAAGGATACACTGAATTCGTACACTTCAACTGTCCGTGTCTTGTGATCAATATCGTTTGCAAGAATACATTACATTCGTACCATCGGGTACTGACATACATTTCAACTGGCCGTCCAATGAGGATACTGAATTGACATTGACTGGTCATAGTGTTACAAGAAATTCCAGCAATTACCATGAAAGCAGTACGATAAAAGGTCAGCGATCATTATCACTTGCGTAACAGTTAAATCTATTTTGTTTTGTTTACGTGTAACATTAAGCTGAGGTCGGCAATATTACGGCCTGTAAATAACCGAAAACATATTTCAAATTTATGTTCTATGAATTTTTGGGAAATCTGATCAACAGTTTGTGAGAGCTTATGTCATTACACAAAAACTAAACACATGAAGTTGGAATTCGCGTGGCAATTGTGTCTCAATAACTTTTATTGGGTGTAATCACTTAGGGCAAGTTACGTTTCCATTTCGTGTTTTGATTTTTGACTGTACTATCCCTATCTGTTGGTGATTCCATACAAGCAGTGGGTAACAATCTGGAGATGCCGACGTCCACTCAGAAACCTCTGGGGTATAAATTCTGAGTATATGAGCAAAAGAAATCTCTAAAACGTGTCAAAAGAACTACGATCGAATTCTTAAAGAACATTTTAGCTCACGCAATGTGTAATTTCTCATCTGCTCGCCTGTTCTGGATGTCAGCCGACTTTCGCAATTGAGTAACCAAAATGACAGACAGTAATCCTGTTATTCAACAACGTTATGTTAATACGCCTTTTGATTAAAAGTATCTTAACAAAGGGTCGTGAGATCTGTTTTTCGGTGGGTGTTGGTCATGGTCTGTTTTAAACTTTCGACACTGCATTTCAATCCATCAAGGTTGAACCTTTGCATGGGTGATCCGCAGCACACTTTCCCTAAAAAGTTGCTCATTGTAGCAATATGTCACAAGGGCCAGTTACTTTTTGGTTTTGTTATAATCACTGATCAAACTATGCACCGTATTGTTTTCAATAGTTTCTTTTGAAACGTTAAATGTCCATTCATCGTTACGAGCCCATTCTACCGGTAATAATACCAGATTAAAAGAAAACCCTTCGCAACAATGAATATTTTACTCATGATCCAGGCGTCACTAGAATGTTAACCAATAGCTTTCATATTAGTATTTAACCACGTTGATTTACTATGTGATCTATTGATTTATTAAGTGTTGGATGTTTTGAAACTGTTTACATTTTATTAATAACCAGTTTGAAATGTGAGGAATGCATGATTAATTTTAGTGTTACAAATCCAGAAGCTTGTTCTGCAGAATAATGCACATGGTTCCTACTGTGCTTCCTTTCCATAAGATTCTTGGAGATTATCTAGAAGCCTAAACACTCTCGTGCAGCTAACCAACTCGGTGTCACTGATACTGTCTGCATGTATTAGGTTGAAAGTATAAGCGTCTTCAGTCAAACTATAAATCATGAATTGGCAATCCAATAGACGTTTGTTTCAATTGGAGTATTTACAAACCATTCACACTTGTAACAGCATGTCAATCCAATCTTTCTGAGCATAAAACTTTATATTTGCGTTCGAATTTGGCATGACCATTTTGAAGGAACAATGTCTTGTTTAAACGTCTTTCCATTCAGGTTATTGTAATTTCAGACGGAACACGTGTCCAGGTCCCAGTCGACACAAGAGGAGGTGCTGCCCGGGGTGGTCCCAGCCCAACAGTAGTCGGAGATGCATTGTCCGTGAGTACACATGTTTATCAGTCATAACATCAATATTATCATGACACACATTTTCCTACTGTAAGCTATTGTGAAGTCCACATTCCTGGCTTGGAATGCTGAAGGCACTAACTACATACCCTCTGGCCACTGCCCTCTGAAGCACCGTTTGTCATCGTGTGGAGTTTGTTAGAACTTCCTGAATGTATCTTATAAAACAGGATAATGAGAACATTTTTTTCTCATTTCTGCAAAACACACTAAACAAATATTAACTGTGTTGGAAACATAGATCATATCAAATGTGAAGCAATACAAATGCATTTTCCATTCACATTTATTGGTTTCGAAAATCAACTGCACCTCATGAACATTCTCTTTTTCACATGTTTGTCAAGTTCTAATCGAAACTGTCAAATACCCACCCAAAGATTACATCTTCTTAAACTATGGGTAATAAGGTAAAACAAGAACTTGAGATGAATTGTGACGACTGAAAGTCAAGGGAAGAGGTTAGTTCTATCACTGTCAAAGCTTTAGTGAGTGAATGCTGTTTAACGCTGTCGTCAACGCGGACTGTAAATAATCAAGTTTTTATCAATCAAAGCTGTAACTTGAAGTATGAGCAAGAGTTCAAGCCATCAGCTATGATTTTTGGTGCAAGCAGACAAGTCAAATAGTCTAACCTCCCGACCGCCATTTTAGTCGACTATACACATAGAAGGTATAAGTGACCTCCACATAGAATTAATATTAATGATTTTAATGAATTTCCCTTTTTAGAGCCTCTGTACAAATGACTATTGGCAAGACGAAGAAGAATCATTAACCTTCCTTGAAATCGTCCAAGTTTGAAACATGATGCTTTTACTGTTCATGTTAAATGTTTGATCAAATAACTTCGAATAAGTGAGATATCAAATAACAGACAAGGCCAGTATGTTAACTGAGGAAGACATCTGTCCAAACCATGCACCAGTACTATCAACTCTGGACTTAACTCATACCTGAAGACATGTCCGTTGTTCTTTTTCACTTTTTTTCCTAAAGATCCTTATAAGTCTGTACAAAGAGAGAAATAATGCTGGTTCAAGCAAATGTACCACCAACTCCCTGTTTAACGACAATCCTTAATACAATCAAGGGAAGACTTTCTTTATATTCAAAGAATTTGAGACAATTGGATTTAATACAATGTTGATTCTAAAAAAACCTCAAAGGATTTGCTTTAATGTTTGCAATCTCAGAAGAGAACCATGTTCACTAATGTTCAGCTTTCATTGTTCAGCTTTGAACACCACTACACCTCCCGACAACGTTAAGAAAGACTTCACTAATTCGTGGATGGAGCATTTGTCACAAGACGTGGTGATCATAGTTACAGTTACGTCTCTATCCTCAAAGGTTTAGGACAATGTGTTAAAACTGACAGTTTACTTAGAAAACAATATGTGAAATACTGAACTCTTCATTGAAAACATCTACTTTTCATTTATGGGATAAAACGATTAGGCAAGAAGTACGCATTCCCACGGGCACAGATTGTGCTCCCCTTCCTGTTGATCTGTTTCTTCATGCATATGAATCGGAATTTCTGCTCAGATCGGCAAAATTAAAAACAAGTATATTTGGCCAGACATTTAACTGAAGCTTCAGGTATATACATGATCTGATACTGTTCAATAAGTGTCAAGTGACGATGAGGTAGTCTTGTGGTTAAAGCCTTCACTTGTCACACCGAAGGCCTGGGTTTTATTCCCCACATGGGTACAATGTGTGAAGCCCATTTCTGGTGTGTCCTGCCATATATTGCTGGAATATTGCTAAAAACGGCATAAAACCACACTCACTAACAGTCAAATAGCAAATTCACTTCCACTGATTTACCCACCTAAACTAGAAATAAGGTAGACCAGTGACACCAGTGGTCTGTTTCATATTAAGATCTATGCATCCAAGTTACAAGAATGTTTGACAACAGAGATGACTTCAAATTTCCAATTGTCAACTTTCCCTTTATGTCAAGAAATATTCCACCAGCCCCCGCCTTTGGTGTCGACATTGCACAACTTTTGAGGAACAATTGTGCATGCTCTTTCTACCAAGATTTCAAAGAGGGTCATACGAGTCTTGCTCAGAAGTTGTTTATCAGGGTTGCAACATTCAAAACCTCAGTAAAGTTTTCAAAACGTTGTGGACATGTGTAACATGTGGAGATCATGTCCAATTTTGATCCAATTTTGATGCATCAGTGACAGAAATGACAGAAATGATGTCCTATGCAATTCCAAGATTTGACTTGTACCACATATTCCCATGATTTTTTTTCAGTTAAACAATTGACTTGTCGTTGCATGTGTTTGTGATGGGAGCCACCTATGGGGCAGGATGCAGTCACATTTTCGTGATACATGGTATCATCACTATTTGATAGTGATTCATAAACACATGCCTATGATATTGTCTGAATTGTACAATGGACTCTGCTTTTTATAGAGAAATGGTATTTGTTGGTTCCATTATTATGCTATGTATGCTGGAATATTTTTGGCGATGCCTCATTAAACTCACAAGCGGGCAATGCTGAAAGAAATTATGTCTTTAATCAATATAATGAAACATATGAATCAACACAGTTTATCAAGTTTCATCCAAAAGGAAGAGTGATCACACACCCGGCAAAACATAAGCCATTAAAAACATGGTTATTTTTCAGTTATAATGACAGTGTCATTTTCCAACTGATCTTTGGCAGAACCTCCTGTATGTCCAAATATGAGACTGGATTTGTAATTTGTTACTGGCAAACAATCCTTATCCAGGATAAATTGGTTTTTCATAAAGAATGTAATGACCTTCTACATCCTTACCTTATCGGGGCCACTGATCTCCAGTATATACTTATTAATCCAAACGAATTTACACAAATCACAGTGCTTGTACTCCCTCTATAGTTCATGTTAAAATTTTCATTATCCACAATTGACACACTGCTTAAAAGACATGTTGCCAGAGTCCAAGACAACACACCTATGACATTTAATAGGAGCTATCTTTACTCGGTCACTAAGTACACAAAATATAATGTTTACACCAATCACATTCATCATACCAGTGGAACTTTCACCGACTTACAACATACGTACATACATACATACAACTAACTGTATAGTATTACTATCATCTAATGTCAGTTAGGAGGAATATGATGGGAAATGTGTTGTGTTTACTTGCTTTTGTTGCATTCCTTAGTATAGAGAATGGTTGATCTTTTGCAGCACTATTTGGCTAAGAGTTTCATAAAAATGTCATGCTTTAGTTTATGAATCTACATATTCCACTAGACCCTTTTTTGTGTCTAAAACTTCTACTTTTATTATGGTCATCAGTGCAGCAGTTAATGGTTACTCTCTATATCTAGTCCTAGACTGGATGAGACAACATATTGCAGAACACTGACCCTGTATAAGACATACAATATGAATTTTCTAAATCATATACCTAAGAAAGACAATATTCACATAAATACAGCTTTTTGACACACAATGATGATTTAATTTGTGTTGTTTTGCAGCTATCTGCATATCCAGCTGTGGAACTGGTGGTCGTTGTATGCGGCCAAATGTATGCTTGTGTCAAAACAGACAAATCGGACCTTCCTGTTCACGTAAGATCACCATACTTTCAGCTGTATGAAATAATTGTGTCATGGTGTGATATATCAGTGTGGATTTTTCTGCTTTGTTGATGTTGGAAAATTCCCCAATTCCCCAAACCGGCATAACCTTAAAATGTTTCATATGTTTTCTGTTTATGTGTGTGTCACTTTCAATGATATATTACATGATTCTTGACACATTCTCATCTCTTTTCAATTTTCAGTTCCATATTAATAAGTGTTGCCAGTTTGATAGTTGAATCATTGAGCTCTACTTTACAGTGAGAAAAACACACTATGTATTGAACTACACTTGACAATGTGATTCTTGATCACAAATGATCAACACAAGATCTTAAACCACCACATTAATTACTGAGTGCTACAAGAACGTTCTATAAGAATACATAAACATGTTTTCCTTACAGCCTGTAATCAGCCTTGTGTGAATGGAGGACGGTGTATTGGACAAGACCGGTGTTCCTGTCCATATGGCTTCACTGGGAAGCAATGCCAACAAGGTTAGCTTACTATTTACCATCAAGTATGTTACTTACATAAATTTTCAATATGAAATTCCAGCAAGAAGCCTTCAAAACCTGCTGAATTGTTTGCCTCTTGCTCTTTTTAGAATTAACAAAAGAATTTCTTTACAACAACTCTGGCACGTTTTGCACTTATTGTTCACAAACTTTACAGTTAGACAGTTTTTACAACATGTTTCAAGTAACTTATCCTCAAGTTATATTTTCACCTGTGCTCTTCCATTACGAGTGGGTGTATGAAAAATGTTCTGATGGAGCATTGTGTCTTTTTAACATGGTTTTATTTCTGGCGCATGTAATGTGGGCAGAGCTCTAATTTCCCAAAGAACATTAAATGTATAAAGCGTTTCACTGCAAGTGTTTGACACATTATGGCATATTTGTGCTAATCTGTGTTTAAAAGAGGGTGGACCTTACTGCGTAATATACACCAGTTGAGAACCCATTAAAACCAGACTTTTTGCTATTTTTTAGCTATTTACTGCTGACAAAGTACATTTTGTAAATCTATTTCATATTCTGGCTGTATAAATTGCATTTGTAATAAGCCCTTTATTATCTCAACTCAAAGATGGTTATCTGGTAATATTGAATATTTTGAAGTGAACAATTCATAACCATTTTACAGCCTATATTTTTCTGTTATCAATGAACGGAGCTACAGATAAGCAGCGTATTTGCGTAAAATACCCAACAAAAATATTCAAAATTACTTCCAATGAACTTGCATACAGAAACGCACGCATTCAATTCAAAACACACAAATGTATAAAAACAGCTCACGTAAATACCCAATGATGCTTTTTCATAATGCATACAAAGGAACTAATTTCTGAAACACAATTACAAGCTAATTTACTTTCCCAGTCAAGCCTATATATTTAGAACAGTTATATACATCTAAGACATTATTGCATTTTTTTTTTAAATCTTAAAATGTTAACTAATATTAGGAAAAACCCAAGAGAGTGATGAATAGATGAGTAAAACAATATTTGTTACCCAATGAAAAATTTAATAACCCAATTAAAATAGAAACCCTTGAGTAAAAACTCAATTGCTCAAAACGTTATCTTGCGATCAGAATGAATACTGCAAATAGTGTTCTGTCAATCTTTAAAGAATGAATGTCATCTCTATGTGGTGTAAAAGTGAAAGCTCACTCACTGTTGAACATAGATATATTTGAAGAGCACATCCACTTTATTTATGAAATAATATTTTTACAAACTATTTACATTAATTTTACATGGAATTAAAAACAATAAAACACATTAAATCGACACAGTGAACAGCTTGTACAATATTGGTACATGTCTAGTTAGTAGTCGGGCTCAACATACATGTTGAATTTTGATGGTGATATGACCTTTGCACCATTCTGAAAACTGAAACCTCTTCTACTCTTAACTGTGCCATTTTGTTTCAAAATGTCATGAAATTTGGTATTTGAGTAGTTACTATTTGGCATCAAGACATACAATGGGGATTAGAATATATTGAGAAACCTAATTATGGCCATTACTTCCATTTCCTTCACAACCTGTAACTAAGTTACTAAGTTACTGTTTTTTATTAATTTTGACCTTGTTTTAACCATACTCATAAGTTTTCCCAAAATGCATTTTTGTCTCCTTATGAGGACATAATAAATTGTTCACTTCATTAGATCAGAGTTAGATGTTAGTATTAACTGAGAAAACATATGAAGATAAATGCTGACAGCAACTTTTCCTTGATAGTGTCTGGCTTTGTTTTTTCAACATTTTAACAGATGAGCTACAGTACCATGGTAGGAGGTTTAAAACATATAATAGAAAGCATCAGGTTCTGACAACATAGCAATTGTGAAGTGCTAATTTAAAAAGATTTGAGACTTACATATTTCATATGAACCAGTAAGTGTTCCATTTGTTTTACATTTGCATTGTAGATTATCGAACTGGGCCCTGTTTCACCCAGATATCAGACAACATGTGTCGGGGGCAGTTAACTGGTGTTGTTTGCACAAAGATGCTATGTTGTTCAACAATTGGTAAGGCTTGGGGAAGGCCATGCGAACAGTGCCCAACATCAACTCACCCCTGTCGGAGAGGGTACATCCCCAACCCCCAAGGCGACACTTGTATAGGTGAGTACACACAAATGGGGAGATTTTGAAGGGTGATGATCTACTTGGACAAGCTCTTGGGGAGAGCAGTGAAAGACTGTAATTCATTTGAGGATAAGAATCCTATTTGTACATGCTTTAAAACCATCATTTGTTTGGTTTCAAGTTTTGAAAATAATTTTGTTATCATTAAATTATTACATCATATTTAACATGAAAGCTTTGTGTATAATGTTTTCATGAATAGATTGAATATGTACAAAACCTTCCTTTTATATTCTTTATAATGTTGATCAAGTAAGAGACATATTTTGTTTCAACTGACATTCATTTGCAACTGTTATTGACCTTAGAATCATTTTGAACATTGCTTTTCTAAGTAAAATCTAAAACCATTTTATGCCTAACTTCAGTGAAAAGAACCATGACCAAAGGTGATTCTCATTGAAAGAACATGTTTTTACATGACCCATTCATTAGTTATTTTTTGTCTATTTGTTGTCAGGTTATTCAACAAATGCTGGTAATAGTACAACTTGGATTATGAAACAAAAGTGATTTACATCCAATTGAAAAAATAATGATAGGTTTAATGTAATATGTTTTTGAAATGACTTCTATGGTGAAGAGAAACATTATTGTTTCTGTGTGTGTGTGTGGCGGGGGGGGGGGGGGAGGCGGGAGGTTTTGAGCAGAATGAAAGTTATTAGTTTCACTATCCTGGAGCAAAATTGAAGGAGTCTTCATATTGTTGCAGATGTTGATGAATGCCAGGCTATCCCCGGTCTGTGTGTGGGCGGCAACTGTGTCAACACCCTGGGGTCTTATCGCTGTGAATGTCGAGAGGGACAGACACAGAATCCAATAACCAAAGTTTGTGAAGGTAAGGAGAGACAATTGTTTTTTACACCAAAAATTGTGGCACAGATTTATATTGTAGTTACAAAATAAAAGAATATAACACAGTGGTTATTGCAGATGTTCATTAGACACATAGAGCTTGTGTTCAATACCCCACATCAGAAGTTCATTGTGTAAATGTGCCAGTTAACACTATGAACTCAGTCACATATTGAAAGATCTGTATATCACAATTATAATCACAATATTTCATTTATGGATTTATAACCATTGAAAAGCTATAAGCAACTGTCGCTGAACACAACATTTGTACTGTTGAAAGAATAATGTACAGTGAATGTACAGTACCGGTATATGTCAGTCTTAGACTGACATGAATGTACAGTACCGGTATATGTTAGTCTTAGACTGACATAAATGTACAGTACTGGTATATGTCAGTCTTAGACTGAAATAAATGTACAGTACTGGTATATGTCAGTCTTAGACTGAAAGGAATGTACAGTACCGGTATATGTCAGTCTTAGACTGAAATGAATGTACAGTATCGGTATATGTCAGTCTTAGACTGAAAGGAATGTACAGTACCGGTATATGTCAGTCTTAGACTGACATGAATGTACAGTACAGGTATATGTCAGTCTTAGACTGAAAGGAATGTACAGTGCCGGTATATGTCAGTCTTAGACTGAAATGAATGTACAGTATCGGTATATGTCAGTCTTAGACTGACATGAATGTACAGTACCGGTATATGTCAGTCTTAGACTGTACCTGGTATATGTCAGTCTTAGACTGACATGAATGTACAGTACCGGTATATGTCAGTCTTAGACTGAAAGGAATGTACAGTACCGGTATATGTCAGTCTCAGACTGACATGAATGTACAGTATCGGTATATGTCAGTCTCAGACTGTACCTGGTATATGTCAGTCTTAGACTGACATGAATGTACAGTACCGGTATATGTCAGTCTTAGACTGAAAGGAAGGTACAGTACCGGTATATGTCAGTCTTAGACTGACATGAATGTACAGTACCGGTATATGTCAGTCTTAGACTGACATGACTGTACAGTATCCCAGCTCTCGTGCACTACTGAAACACATTATTCCCTTGTTACACACCAGTACAGAATTAAAGGACACCTTTAAATAAAACAGTACTGCAGACGTCCAGCTGACATTTATTTGTGGAGTGTTCTATTCTTGTTAAGCAATATGTAGATGATACTATGCAATCTGCGTTTTATACCATGAGCGAGACTTCAGAGCTTAGGGGTAATAGTGCCTATTTTGTCTCTTGTGTGGGTCCCCATTGTTGATTAATTGTGTAACATTGTGCAACCAATCCTTCATATGAAGAGACACTCTATGAAAGTACCATTCAACAAGTGTTTGTATTTCTGTGTAATTTATATATAAAGGAGAACCTACTACCAGTAATACCTGATATGATACGATTTGCAAGATAAAGCTGACATAAAGGTCATAGGTTAGGGTTTCTAAAAATGATACCACCTGAGATAGAAAAACAAATGTAAAATATCACATTTATTGCCAGTTAAACAAGTGCATGCACAAGACATTAACCTCAAAATATTAAGTGTCATAAATGAACTGCAATAAAAGGCTTACCACAACGTCAAAGGATGGATGGTTTTAATATTGTTTTTGGTATAATTGATGACATAAATAGATGGGTTTTTCCTCACAGAGACATCACAGCAAATATAGACTATAATTTATCATATATGGAGATTTCTTTCAAACTATACAAATGTAACCATTTCACTGCTAAATGATATAATGTTATGTTATTTTCTCCATCCTTTTTACTTCAGTTCAGCTGGTTTATATGTGTATTTGTGAACTGTGCTAAGTAGACTGCTAACAAATGTATCCATCAAATTTATCCATATTCCCCTTTAGAGACCCTCAACTGGTATTCCTTCATCTCGAAATAGCAATAGGTATCAATCTTCACCAATCTACACAGGTGACTAGGTTTCTCTCATAAACAATCCAGAAATGATAACAGAGTTGAATGTAAAAGTTCCTCAGGGTCTTCAATCACTGTCACCACTGTCTTTTTAAGTTGCTGGCTGCTGTAGCAACACATCTGCTAACTATTTGTCTCAGAGCAAACAGAGAAATGGCATAATGATGCTGAAAATTGGCATAATTCTTTTCATTTAAAAAAATATATATGAAGTTGTGTTGTATTATTATTATTATTCAATTGCAATTATTTAACCTCGAAATTTAATATGATTTTTATATAAGATTTGTTATAACATCTGGGAAAACATTCTTTGGAAGTTGTAACTGAAGATGTTACATTAGATTTAAATTATTTAAAAACTCTGAAACATAAATATGAAATTGAAATTAGCAGGTGACAATTGAATCCCCTGTTGACTATGGAACACAAAAAGTCTTTGCAATTACCATGTTACAAAATTAGATCTGGATGCAATATGATCCTCCTGAATATCATTCTGAACATTAAATGAAAAATGGGACAACTACTTCTTGATCCACCAGGGTTCTTGACCGACACACATGTGTGTACATTAACTTATCCTACACCTCTACATGTACAAAACATATCTGACAAGATGACCATATGCATTGGAGTAAGTGTTTAACTGATGCTATGGTCATCAGGGCCTTAAAATCTGTAACGGTTAGTGGGAATCTCAGAGTATTAAATGTGCTGTGAAATAAGAAACATAAGCATAAAGCTGTGATATCATTTTCAGATATAAATGAGTGCGAGATCATTCCACGTATTTGTGAAAACGGACAGTGTACAAACACAGAAGGGAGCTATTTCTGTACCTGTAACCGTGGATACGAACCCAATCCTGACCGCTCTTCTTGTATTGGTAAGTCTAATTTCATTCATTCTGTTGAAATTTGTCTTAGATCAATTTTTCATGTTATCTTCCCTTTGATAACCACTAATTTACATCAGACTTTAATGATCTGATTGTCTCTAGTCCATTGTTTTGTATATAACTATATATGTCTTGCTTGTGTATGGTGAATTCTGACCAGCATGTAACTTTTTCCTGATTCTTTCTTCATGTTTTGCATGTTCAGACTTTGAAATGTGGACTGGATAAGTAGCTGCAAACTTCCACTAAAGGACTGCCACATTCCATTTATTCCTTGCCTGTGTAGCCCTCTATAATTCTTTTCAGGTGAATTACCAGTATTAAAAAATTGGTTATTTCCCCTTCTTATAAAAAGTACATGAAGTGTGGGCAGTAAGAGTCAGGGGAACTATTTCAGATATTTTAATGGCGTTTTCTGTGGCAATGTGCACATGGCATCTCCACCTGCGGATACATGCTACATGCAATTGTGCATGCTGTTTTCGTTTCTTTCACTTCCTGTACTGGAAACACATGGATTGTAAAAACAACATTAACCCCATGGGTCTTGTGATTTTGGTGTTACATTGAAAATGTGTTAATGTGGTTTTAAAGAGTTAAAGCACAGGCTCTTAGGGGAAGCTCTTTACAATGGAGGGATGTGACACATCCAGGTCAGAGGTCAAATGTAATTAGGAAACCCATTTCAGCCTTAGATGGCTTACACATGCTCTTGTGTAGCACCGCCAAACCTGGTCAGATTGGATGAAAGTAGACACAGCAGAACAAACTTTCTTTTTTTCACATATAGGGGGTACACATTTTGGGGTACATATTTTTATCACTCACCAATAACAAGTTCCTGTGTTGTGGATGTACACTTGCAACTCTTAGATTGTTAGTCTCCTATTTGTAGTTGTTATTTTACAGTTTTCCTATATGAAGGAGGCATGCTGTAAGTAAACAGTATGTTATACCAAGAGAACATTGACATTTCTACATCTATGACAGACTGCAATAGTTCTGAAGATAAGAAATAAGGCTGTCATGTGCAACATGTGACCTTACAAAAAGACACCTTTTAGCCACAAGTATCAGTAAACTATATTTCCATAGGGTTTTAGACCTTCTAATGTTTGATGGAAAGGCAGTAAATACTGAAATGGGAAAATATAGATTATAAGCAGTTCTGTTTACATCATATTAGAAAAGGTTATGTTAAGATTTTATGTGAGTGCATATGCAAGAAACTTTATGTTAATACATTTGTGGAAGAGTTACTAAGTAGTCAGGATTCTAACATTTATCTCTACCAATCATTCACACTATACAGCTAGAATAAATGGCTCAATTTTCATTTTCTAAACAGCATTCTTCTTGTTCATTGTATGTTACAAATGTAGGGCAGTCGGGTAGCCTGGTATATATTGCTGGAATATTGCTAAAAGTGGCGTAAAACCATATTGACTGACTACAAAATGTCAAGTTTCATATTTTTACCACAGATAAATCTCAATTCTCAGTGTCTGTATCCAGTCTATGTACTTCATTACGTCCCTGTACCTATTTGGTAAGGACAGAGACTAAATGTTCAAAAACAATCACTAAAATCTCCTTTTCTGCTTTCATAAAGAGTAAAGAAACTAGGAACAGTCATTTATCTAGGATTCGAAACTACAAATGTAAGTGTCTTTAGCAGGTAAAATGGGTAAAATTGTTATTTTGTTCAAAAGTTGGATTTTTTCAATGTTCTTATTTATTAAGATTGTGTTTTCACATTGCGTTCAATACAATGATGTTTAACTAACCTTGTAAACCTCTTCCTCCTCACTGCTCCTGTTATCAGTGAAATACAAGTCACCAAGTCATTACATGAGTTAGAATTGGGAAATTATAAATTCTCATTTGGGAATTTTTACTGCTATTTTCTGCTCCCATGGGACTGAATATCCTCCTGTGACCAGGTGTGTATTAATCCCAGAAGCATGCTGAATGAAGAGTACTGCAGGATATGAAATATCACTGACAAAGTGTCCTGTCAAGCCACCTGGTTTACACTCAGAGAATAGGGATTATTCTAGGGTGGGGCCTTGTGCTTTTAGCCCCTAAATTTGAAAAAAGGCCCACATTTTCAAAGACAATGGGCCATTTTAGCATTGTGCTGGATGGGCATGTGTGGGTGTACCTCTGCAATATTTAAAATTTTCAGATGAAGGGCCGATGTCCAAAAATTCCTCGAGTGAACCCTTCAATACATATATAGTAAATATTTCCAAACATGAAATCGGTTTTCCATGGAGCCATGCTGTACATGCCACAATGTAGGCTTGGTGGATGATGAGGTTTTTGTGACTTTGTCTCAATGTTTAATATTGGATGTATCAGACTTTGAATTTTTATTATATGAACTTTGTGTAGACTAGAAATGCCCACCAGCCCCAGTCAGTTTGTCTAATATTAAAGGTATCCTAAAGGCTAAATAGTCTATACAGGCACCATGAACTTAGGACAGTTTCCTCTTTTGAGTAGAGGCTAGTAGAGGCTCTTTTGCTGATATTGGCCAAAATCTTTGCAATTTGCCCTTCCTTTGTGTTTTAATACAGAAACCATTATAAGGGTTGGCCCATGTAGGGTGACATTTCAGAGTACTACGGACCCAGTGTTGTGACCTTCTAACCTCCATATTTGCTCCACTGGAAGAGCTTTGATATTGTGTATGCTTTGTAGCCCTGGACTGGATACACTGGTGAAGCATATGGCAGCAATTCAGCCTCCCATTTCATACTATTTTCCTGTGTCATATTTACCAAGTGTGGCACAAAACCTATCAGGGGTGGAGTTTCCTGATATTGCAGTGAAGCTTGACGTTGGTTCAATTGAGCATTGCTGTAGAAATTCATGTTCAGATTGTTCACAAGTGTTCTGTCGTATCCTTTGGCATAGTTACATGAAAGCTATTGCCTGTTTGTGACATTGCTGTGTAGGACTTGGTTTTCAAGACTGAAAACATCCCTAGGTTATTATTGTCGCCATATTTCTTATTGTGTTTGACCTGCATTGACATAAAAATTTGGGTTTCAAAACATTCCATTTACGTCTCTCTTGATTTTCAATTCCTAACATGCCATTAAAAACATAACTGCAACCTTGGCTCTTTAGTATAAACTCCAGATATGAATGCGCTTTTGTTTCTCAATCCCACCCACTTAAATAGGAAATAGGCATGTATTATAAAGCGTAAGTTAAACCAATGGGTCACACTAGGCCAAGCATTTTTATGTTCACCCACACTTTTCCATTTATTAAACAAATAAGACAATGTTTCATTTTTAAACAATGCATCTTGCAACAATGGCAAAATAAACAATGTATCCTATTCTTTCATATATAGCTTAAAACAATTATAATTTATTGCATGTAGGATAACAATTGTTTGTAAGACGTACATTGTTAGCTGAGTGCAGATGTTTGCTTTATAGCATGTATTTTCTTTAAGTAAAACTTTCCTATGAATATGTAGGATGAATAGATATCCCATTTAAAACTAAAATTAAATAGAGTTGTGATATTAGTAATTAGATTATAAATCATGTTACACTCATATTGAGGATTTGTAGTATTTTTCTTTGACAATGTTACCATGAAAAGGATTTTGCAATGTTAAAGTGACTGTTGATGCCAGTGTCTTGCTCAAAAGTGGTCACAGTTTGGTAATGTTCTTCGGGTCTTGGGTCTCACATCTACCATAGAAATGGTCTTAATGCATGATTTTGGTGCACAAATTGGTGTTGATGTGGTGGTCATACCCGATAATGACAATGTTAATTGAGTTCTTACTCCATTTTTCTTTTGCGGTGTGTCTCTCTGTCTCCTGTTACCAAGTATAAATTTGTAACATGTATAATAAACCATTGATCAGACAATTGACCAGATATATTCTCAATAACACAACATTTACACCACTTCATATGAAGCAGCAGCAGTTACTTTATCTCCTTTTACACATGACAAAAGCCCAGCTTTCACGCCTCACCAAGCAGTTGTACACTGTAACTTGAAGCCTGCAATGTTAAGGTACATTCTTAACCTCCTTTCTTTCTCCTTTACATAATGTCATTTGATAGGTAAAACAATTTGAAATTCCTTTTGTTTTCCCAAAAATATTTCTTTACTGGAATGTAAATGTAATGTTAACTTTGTCACATATACCATAGATATGTCTAGAATTGAGAAGATTCACAACATGAGAACTGTTGGAATGAATTAATGCTGTTTGTTATTCATTTCATTCATTCTTTGTGCTGTTGACATGACCAGTACACATGGGTCTGTGTTAGACCTGGACTATCAGTCATGTCAGCTTGAGGGACATTCCACATACACTGCAGTGATCCTTTCCTCAGTTTGAAACACATAAATGCAAGGTGCATGGGTGTATTGCCATGTATCATGCTGAATTGCTAATTGTTCATGCTTAATTGTTAAATGTTCAAAACTGATAATGAGTACATCATGGTGGGTGGGTCAGGGTGTCTTGTAGGGTTTGGGTATTGACAGTCTAGAATATGTTTTGAAGGAATAAGTTTTCATATTCCATCATTGTGTAACTTTAACTTTAGGCTGAATGTTTAAGATAAGAGAGGTAATACTTATTGCAATTCATTCCATTAAGGTACAGCAGCACAGTAAACCACAGCAACAATTTACATTTACACAAACAAGTGCACACATCAGGAGAAAGCACAAAAACAATAAAGTCATGAATACAATATTTTAGAGGATGGAAAGGTTGCTGTGTCATGATGTATGGGTTCAAATATGGAAACAAATGGTAGTGATTGAAGTGATATCATTATTGAAGAAATATATTGGAACAGGCCATGTTCATCTTCAACAGACAATGCTTCACTGTTGATATTCTGTGAAGGTTGTGTATTTAATTTACTGGATTTGCTAAATGTAGTAACTTTAGTTTTGTCTCCATTTATTTTTAATTTGTTATTAATGCAGAAGACATTAATGTTATCATGTAGGTATTGGAGGTTTGTGGGGTCTGACTGCAAATAATACTAAATCATCTGCAAATAATAAGTGACAAATGTTGAGATGATGTAGATCATTACATATTTGCTTGGAATTAAGTTCTTGTTGAAGATCATTGATAGATATGTTGAAAAGAGTGTGCTTCAGGATACAATCTTGTCTCATCCCAATGTTGGATGGGAATGTTTGTGACATTCTCTTACGAATTTTTACTCTATATGTAATATCAGTAAAAATCTTAGTCTACGAATCTGAGACATTTATCTGATCATAGCAACAAAATCGATTTCAAATATTTTCATGCCAGTAAAATAAAATTTTAAAAAATGAAAAGAAAAGACCAAGAGTGTGGATAAAATATTTATGAATTGTTGACAATGTTTCAGCATCATCTTCTCAATTAGTTAGCTGATGTTTTTAAGGATACACACAATGGTGTTCAGATTTGATCATGGTAGCTATGTTGAGAATTAATCTTTTCTTTGCTTAACATTAATAGGAAATCAAATTTCTGAGAAACCCAGTGACTGAGCTGGAACTGTGTGTAGATGATAACGGTGTACTCTGGGGAACATCATCTGAACTCATCTTTGGTTGTTGTGACAGTATTGCAAAATTAGAAATATCTTACACAACAGAAACTGATGTATACCTCAATAATGTTTCACAAAGTTTACCACTTAACAATTATATTGCATTGATAAATTACTGTTCCTCATATCAAACAAACTCTATAATACAGCCATAAAACCCTTACTTAAAAGCTAATTTAGCTAATTTGGATTGTAACTCATGATCAAGTGTGCCTTGGTGCCTTGCTATGTTCAGGCTCATCCACAAATAGAGTCCTCTATCTGTTGCCTGTTATCACTGATATCTGATAAACAGTGTTGGAAATTGGCACTAGTCCTGTAGTCCTTGCCAGACTGCTATAAATTCACAATACACAACACTCTGGGAGTATGGGTTCGAATCCCAGATGGGGGCTCAATCCCAAAAGTACTAGAATCTGTACTTTACTAAGAAAGTGTTATCCTAAATATAAAATTTGTTATATCTGACCTCTTTCTGAATGGCGTTGTATATTCAGTGATAGAGTATCTAGTCAGTGACAATATATAAAGCCTGTGTTCTGACAAGTAACTCACTTGTACAGGGTTACCAAGTTAGTTTCTATTTATTTATTTATTATTTACTATTCATTTATGACTTTTGGACACTATGAATATAATGATAATAGTGATATGTTTATTGCTGTTATTCTTTAAATAGTATCAGTAACTAATAACCGGGGACACAAGGGTGGATACAGTCTTCTAAGGCACCGCAAGTTGCTGTGTAGACCTGCATCCCTGAGGATGCCAGAAACTTAATGGAAAACATCTAAGGCCTGCATCACATAAGGCTTTCCTCCCACACCAATATGACATGCTGTGATGTAACTGAAAATACTGTTCAAAGCTCACTCACTTATGGTGGTAGTAATAATAGGAGTGCCATTGTTATGGTATTGTGTCATCTTTAATTGTTACTCAAAACTTCTATTTTTCCAGACGTGAAACAGGGCTATTGCTACACAAGTGTCATCAACTTGAACTGTCAAAGTCGAATCTCAGAAAAAACATCATTCCAGGACTGTTGCTGTATGCTGGGAAAAGGCTGGGGAACAGGGGAGCAATACTGCCAACCCTGTCCACTCAAAGACACAAGTAAGAATAATGTACCCTATTTCCTGTTTTAGATGCCGGTCATCCTCAAATTGCTACCGGGCATCCTCTAAATGCTGCTGGGTCATATGCTCTGTCAAATAAACAGAAGCCAGATCCCGGGTCTCTAATACTGTGATATGTTGGTGATTAGTTATCTTCGTTTCCTGCAAATGTACCCACAAAGTGTGACTGTAACAGTTGGTATTCGGTAAGGTAGGGAGTTGCTACTGGTGCCAGCATTTAACAGAATAGATGCTGAGCCTCTAAAAGATGCGGGGCTTGCATGAAAATAATATACGCCCAGGCATCTAATGGAGGAAATACGGTAAACTGAAACAGTATATCCATTGTAGTTCGAGAACAATATCATAGTGGCCCAGGAACAATAGTGTGATAAAGACATGGGAATAAGTAGTAGCATTGGGGTATAGAGAACTGATACTTTACCAATAGTCATAGTGTTTTCCATATTCTTTTTGCAGAATTATGAATCACGTTATAAGGAATAAGATAATTGTATGATCCAGTGAGGTGTGGAATAAAGTGAATAAAGTAATAGCATTATCCGGTGAGGTGGGGAATAAAGTAATAGCATTATCCAGTGAAGTACTAAGGCATAAAATAATAGCTTTATGCAGTGAAGTACTGAGGCATAAAGTGATAGCATTATCCAGTGAGGTCTTGTGGAATAAAGTAATAACATTATCCAGTGAGGTAGTGTGGAATAAAGTAATAGCATTATCCAGTGAGGAAGTATGGAATAAAGTAATAGCATGATCCAGTAAGGTAGTGTGGAATAAAGTAATAGCATTATCCAGTGAAGTACTGAGGCATAAAGTAATAGCATTATCCAGTGAGGTAGGATGAAGTTAGAGCATTATCCAGTGAAATTCTTGGGCATAAAGTAATAGCATTATCCAGAGAGAAAGTGTTGAATAAAGTGATAGCATTATCCAATGAGGAAGTGTGGAATAAAGTAATAGCATTATTCAGTGAGGAAGTGTGGAATAAAGTAATAGCATTACCCAGTGAGGTGGGGAATAAAGTTATAGCATTATGTAGTGAAGTACAGAGGTATAAAGTAATAGCATTATCCAGTGAGGTAGTGTGGAATAAAGTAATAGCAATATCCAGTGAGATATTGAGGAATAAAGTAATAGCATTATCCGGTGAAGTACTGAGGCATAAAGTAATAGCATTATCCAGTGAGGTAGTGTGGAATAAAGTAATAGCATTATCCAGTGAGGTAGTGTGGAATAAAGTAATAGCATTATCCAGTGAGGTAGTGTGGAATAAAGTAATAGCATTATCCAGTGAGGTAGTGTGGAATAAAGTAATAGCATTATCCAGTGAGGTAGTGTGGAATAAAGTGATAGCATTATCCAGTGAGGTAGTGTGGAATAAAGTAATAGCATTATCCAGTGAAGTACTGAGGCATAAAGTAATAGCATTATCCGGTGAGATACTGAGGAATAAAGTAATAGCATTATCCGGTGAAGTACTGAGGCATAAAGTAATAGCATTGTCCAGTGAGATACTGAGGAATAAAGTAATAGCATTATCCGGTGAAGTACTGAGGCATAAAGTAATAGCATTGTCCAGTGAGGTAGGGTGGAATAAAGTAATAGCATTATCCAGTGAGGAAGTGTGGAATAAAGTAACAGCATTATCCAGTGAGGTAGTGTGGAATTAAGTAATAGGATTATCCAGTGAGGAAGTGTGGAATAGAGTAACAGCATTACCCAGTGAGGTAGTGTGGAATTAAGTAATAGCATAATCCAGTGAGGAAGTGTGGAATTAAGTAATAGCATTATGTAGTGAGGAAATGTGGAATAAAGTAATAGCATTATCCAGTGAGGAAGTGTGGAATAAAGTAATAGCATTACCCAGTGAGGAAGTGTGGAATAAAGTAATAGCATTATGTAGTGAAGAACTAAGGCATAAAGTAATAGCATTATCCAGTGAGGTAGTGTGGAATAAAGTAATAGCATTATCCAATGAGGAAGTGTGGAATAAAGTAATAGTAAACTGATGGGCAGCCTTCATTGAACCAATTTTATTTTACACAAAATAACCCAGCCACAGATTACTTTTAATAAGAACTGTATTAAATTTGATTATGTCTATATAACCATCACTCATTCTTGCAACAGTTTGTAACTGTTGCAGGAATCAGATATGTTTAAATAGTTAGTAATTGTGTCTTTATGTTTCCTCATTTAACTACTGCAAAACAATTGTTCTCCTGTTTTTGAAAACATTTCAATTGTACTCACACAAGACACAGTAAAGTATTCAATGAAGAAAAGGTGTTTCTTAATTAGTGAAATGTCACAAAGTATAATGTAAGTGGCCAGGGTAGGTCCTGACTACTTCAATAAACACCAGGCTCTGAGTGCATGATACAGCATTCAGCTTTCATGTCAATACAACCGCCATGTATGTGCAACATGTGTGCCTCATAGCCCTAGATCTTCATACATGTGGGGAACTGGGAGTAAGTGTATTCAACAATGAAATTCGGAGATGTGGAAATAATTTTACTATTTGGCCACAGCAATATGCCCAACACTGCAGTCACAGCGTGTGATGTGAATGACATTCGACAACTAACAAGTTTTCTGCAACAGCACGACATCTGTGCCCAGTGTTCCATTGAACCTTGGCACCCATTTTCCCTCAAAGTGCCCTGAACCATCTGTGTTTAAGATATAACTTGACATGTTTACATGTAGAATTGACTGTGCTTGCATTCACAAAACCGTCTCCACATTTCCTACATTACCCTGTTAGCACTGAGCTTGCAATATTGTTATAGCTGAAACAGCTGAGGTTGTGACAGTTGTTCATATGTTGTATTTACCATAATGAAAGTGATTAAATATAATGTTTCTATTTAGGAAATCATACATTAGTACTTTGGGCATTGTATAATGTGAAGATATAGCACTGTAATATATTCTGAAATTAGTCAACCAAATTTGTGAGGGCTATAGATATATATAACTGAAAACAAAATAAAAACAGAAATAAGAATGGACTTACTTTATGAAAGAAAACTATTTCTATTCTGAAGAAATACAAATCTCTACAAATTAAAAACTCATATAATGTGTAAAGTTGGCATGCTAGACAAACACAATTGTTGCCCAGACTTTGAATGACTGTCAGGGATTGAACACTCCCTGACTTTTCAGACACATTCTGAAGTACTACAGATACAGGCATCGTGTAATACTCATATTCCATCACCCATGGGCAGTCAATTTTCCACATATAACAGACATTCAACTGACAGACAATTAGATGCTCTAGCCTAAATGCACAAAAGTCAGTCAGTTGTTAGATACCTTAAAACAACAACTTTTCTGGTTGTGTACACAGCAAAGCATCATACTGTTACCTCAGATGAATAATGGAATGACCCATGGGCCTATGCAAAACAAAGAAGTGTATTGTGTTAAATATTCTTTATATTTGAAAGGTCCCATCTCATCTCATTAGTCAATGATAATACCATCCATAGCACTACAAAATGTACAGAATATAAATATTAGAAATCCTATATAATTAATAAGTGTTCTTCTCATATCAATATTTAACCACCATCATAATAATGGTAATATTAGAATAAGAAACGAGCATCTGGGGAAGCAATCTTGTGAAAAAAATTGATAAAGGGAGGTGTTCATTATTATATGAATGTGTTCCAGTAAAAATGTATATATTTGCTTCCACATGTATGTAAGTATACAGCACATCAATGTACATATTAACAAACTCCGGTTCATGAGGGAAAGCTATAAGCCGCATGGCCGCTGAAAAAACTCACATAAGTTCCGGTTGTGTGCGCAGCCCGACTGGAAGTTAAACTTATGTTACTATGCAACAAATACCTTCAGTATTATATTTATTTCACCGTGAATTTATTAGGCTAAAAAAATAATAGTCTTGGTTCCCAGGCACCACCCACATCATCATGAAGTCCGCCGCACGTTTTGTTTTTATTTCCAAATTCACAAAAATCTAAAAATATGTAATACGATACATAATATAATACTTAAACGCAATGCACAAAAAAATTTTGAAAATTGAAACAAAAATGAAACGTGCAATGAACTTTATGATGATGTGGGCAGTGCCTGAGAACCGAGACCATTGTTTAATTTAGCCTTATTTGTATTTGATAATCTGTAAAATAGATGTTCTCTACATCAGTGAGTTATTTTGAGAAATATAAACATTGTTTTGTTCTGTTCATTATCCACAAAAAACTTCATATAGGATGAACGTACTAAAAGAGAAGATATCCAGTGACACAACAAACATGACAAAGGCAAGTCTTCAGTATGCAAAAGCTGTCAGGAAGATCAAACAAATTTCATACAGCATTACCATACTGTAACACACACTGAACAAACACAAAACTGTAATCCTATTAATCATAGAGATAAGGCTAATTACTCCACTGAGTAGGACTGTTCCATTATAGCTGTGGGTATTGCCCTAATTAACCTTCTACTCCACTGTCAAACAACTGGCTGTCTAACAAATGGGAGATAACCCTCAGACTCAATCAATGTGCACAAATGTCTAATGTCTAATGATTGAATGTACTTGTGTATTTATACCTCATTGATAAGTTTTTCGTTCTTAGAAAAGCAGGCACAAGGTGTCTGACAAACCGAGAGCTATCTTGTGCATTTCTGTTGAAAAATCTGTACCCTTCAAATGTCTAGTCTCTGTTATATGTTTATTGGGTTGCAGAATAAGATGTGTTTTACGTTATACTCTTTCAGAAAGGAAAAGAAAGAATTTAATTCCTTTTCTTTTATAACTTCTTCGATAGGCATTTAGAAGTTGAGTACTAAGTAAGGATAAGAATTTATGGATGAACAACTTCTTTATTACAATTAAGAGCGACTCTGTTTATCACTTGCTTGATAACAGTGTTAGAACCTACACTGAAATGTCGCTTTTAATTGTAATAAAGAAGTTGT